TAGTTCAGTCAGTTCCTCTTGTATTATGACATTCGTTTCTTCTATGTCACCATATGGATTAATTATCCACGGTGGTATTACCATAGTCAAAATATTCTCAAACCTAGATTGAAAATCTGAATAGAGGGCATTTAAATGTTGAACGTAAGTTGAAACGTCGTCTTCCTGGCAGCTTGTCTGTGACAAATTGGGGAACTGTGAAAATTCGCCCCGTCTAATATTTTGCTTCATTAGTTTAACTCTGGCAAGAAACGCTGATAAGATGGACTTTGTTTTAATCAAATTTCAAATAATCAACTGTACTGTCTACATTTCTTTTTAGATTCGGACACGGCATCAGTCATCTGCGGGCAAAATTAAATTATTTAAATAAGACAGAAAATCCAGCAGCTGTATATTAAAAATATTTTTTGATTTTTCCGAAAACATTCCATAATTCGAACAGAATCACTGGAGTAGACAATGTTAACCATACATCGATAGTAAACACATTGAAAGAAAATAAAATGAATCTTTATAAAATGATACCTACTCATGTTAGATCACAATATCATCCAATTAGAAACGTTATGTTTTCTGATGAGTTTACTTTATCTCTTAACGGTCATGTTAGTCGGCAAAATTGCCGCTACTGGTCAACAGAAAATCCTGACTGGATGAGAGAAGAACACACGCAATACCTTCAAAAAATCAATGTTCGGGCAGGGATTGTAGGAAACGATATCATTGATATGTTAAATAATGTTAAAAGACAGCTTCATTTGAGATTAGGATATTACTAAGACGTTCGCGGTAAACATATTGAATATCTACTCCGTTAACATCCATAGTTCTTTTTCATATTCTACATTTCATTGCGTTTTGCATTACATTTTAGTTTTAAAGTATATTTCATAGAATTTCGGCAACCACATGATTTAAATTCATTTCATCTCAATTGTTGCAATAAAGCGATAACATCTTTGAATATATCAAACGATATATCACAAACCTATACTTCCCATTTGAAAAATTGGGTGCTGTACCTGTCATTCAAAAGGGGTTGAAGGTAGAGGTGGCATTTTTACGTTGCAGAATGTCAAATTATAATTTACATTTAACGATTTTCGGGATTTTTTAAAATATGTATTGTAACTGAAATAATGAATTCATTCCATTTGGCTTTTACACACT